AACTTTAACCCCCCCTCCCATATCAATGGTTAAAAGTTGCCACGTGACAGACATGAAAACTTTTTGACTTTACGTCACTTGCGCGCACACACACACACACACATACACCTAAACAAGAGACTCAAGGTCAAGGTCGCTATAAGCCAAAGACTTGCCGTCAAAGACGCGTCGAATTCTCTCTCCCATCCCTCTCTCATATATACAAGATAATATATCCCCTTTCTCTATCTATCTCTTTCTTTCTTTTTTTTTTAAACATTCGATTATAACGTGTTTTCTTTCCTTATTCACGCACGTGCGAGAGAAAAAAAAAAATTACACTTCCCAAAAGTATTATTCCCCTCAAATATCGCGTCACGGTCAAATTTGCACGAGTCACACTAACGAAATAGGTGAGTGGCATTTTAAGAAATGAGAAAAAAGAGAAACTTGAAAAGTTTGCTTTAGTCAAAAACACTTTCTTGACCATGAATGTTAATTCTTTTTTTTTGGTGGGGGGGGGGGGTAATTCTCGAAAATTCTATCACTAAAAAAAAAATTTATTTCATTTAAATATTCGATTTACTTGACTATTATTAAATAAATATTTACTTGAACGAAATGATTTTTATTCGAAACCAATAATTTCTGTATTTGAAACAAATACCATCTCAAATAAATAATTATTTGATACACATAAATATTTATTTGATAAGTAACCGATTATTTGAATCAAATAAATTTTTTTTCAGTGTATATTTTCAATAGAGGACTAAAAATTACTATTTTAACTAAAAGATGTTTTTTTGGAAATTATTATTGAAATTAATTTTATTATTATTATTATTATTACTATTATTATTACTATTATTTATAATTATTTTACTAATTTTTTCCTCATTTGAACTGCATGGGAAAAATAGTTAGACTTTTCTAATAATTATTTGATACAAATAAATAATTATTTGATACAAAAAAAAAATTATTTAATACAAATAAATAATTATTTGATAATAGTCAAGTAACCGATTATTTGAATCAAATAAATTTTTTTTCAGTGTATATTTTCAATAGAGGAAAAAAAAATTACTATTTTAACTAAAAGATGTTTTTTTGGAAATTATTATTGAAATTAATTTTATTATTATTATTATTACTATTATTATTATTATTTATAATTATTTTATTAATTTTTCCTCATTTGAACTGCATGAGAAAAATAGTTAGACTTTTCTAATAATTATTTGATATACATAAATAATTATTTAATACAAATAAATAATTATTTGATAATAGTCAAGTAACCGATTATTTGAATCAAATAAATTTTTTTTGAGTGTATATTTTCAATAGAGGACAAAAAATTACTATTTTAACTAAAAGATGTTCTTTTTGAAATTATTATTGAAATTAATTTTATTATTATTATTATTATTATTTATAATTATTTTACTAATTTTTTCCTCATTTGAACTACATGGGAAAAATAGTTATACTTTTCCTATCTTAAAAAAAAGATTTTTCTTTTTCTATTGTTATATATTATTACATATTAGGATATTTTCAAATATATGTAAAGTTGCATATTGGCAATAAAAAAAATTTTTTTTCTTTTTTTTTGGAGGGGGGACGCACACACATATTTGTAATGTCAATTTATAACATGTCCGCAAGCGTTTCGAGTCGGTAAAAACCTGACGTAATCACAATTTCCTGTTTGTACGGTTCACACTCTCAAGTATCTTTGACCCGCACGCTCTGCGCAATTTTTACTTCTCCTGGTTAGTAATTTTTATCAGCTCTTTCACAATAATCCTCTTGTGTGTGTCGAATTCAAAGAAGAATTAAAAAAAAAAAAAAAAAAAAAAAAAAATACCTGCTTTATAAATGCAGATTGAAATTGATTTTGATATCTCTCCATTAAATTGAATATTTTGTCAAAAAAAAAATATGTATTTTGTCACTCAAAAATAAAAAATAAAAATATCCCCCCTTTTTTCAAACCAATTATAATACCTTCTAATTTGATGAGAATGAAAAAAAACAACAGAACAAGGGAATTAAAAAAGAGAAAAAAAATAAGATTACATAATTACAAGATAGTTTCAGAGCGAAAGCCATTTGGTAAAAAATAATAATACTAGAAAGTCCTCGGAACAAAATAGCGTTTCGAACATAAATTTTATATATGAAAAGGGTTATATGCCAAAAATGAATTGAGGTTTTTGTAACATGGACGCCAACGTCTATTTAACTCGAAGCCCTACTCACACACACACACGAGAGTCACTTTATATCCAAGAGAGAAAAAGAGAGAGAGAGAAAACCGGTCAACCAATCATGATTTTGTGTGTGGAATTTCTGCCAATGACTATATGGTCCTTCTTCTTCTTTCTTTCCTAATCTCTCTAACCTTCAAGCAATGTAAAGAGATGATTTATTTATTTACGCTGCTACAAAGTTAATGACATTTGTCGAGTATCTCTTCCTCTATATATTATTCTCTTCCTTTATATAAAAATTTATTTTCGAAAAAAAAATAATTAGAAACTTCCTTTTTTTTCAAATAAAAATTACAAGAAATGAAAAAAAACCCTTACAAACAAAAAATACAAAAAAAAACACTTTTTTTTACTGCGTAAACAATCTAACGTTATAATTCTATTTTGTGATTATAATGATAAGTGATTTTTCTAAAAATCGTCGGAATGTTGTTTATTATTTGCTCACACACACACACATATTTGCGTAGATGCTATATATATGTATATGAGACTCTCGATCAATGTCAATATAATTTACTTCATAGAAAATTATTTCAACAAAATAATGTTAAAAATTATTAAGGGTGTGCATTTTTCAAAAATCACTTAATATAAAATCAGAACAAAAGGAACGATATTTTATTCTCGAAAAATATAGTTTAAAAGTTTATTTAAAAATAATTATATTTTCATGGAAATTCAATTTTTCTGTCGAAAGGGGAAAAAAAAGAAAGAAATTAAGAAGGGAAAAAAGAAAGAAAGAAAAAAGAAAATAAAGAAAAGAAAGAAAAGAAAGAAAATTTAAAGATATACATAGAAGAAAATAATCCGTATATATGGTCCAGAATTATTAACAATAGTATCAGGTTGCTGCCATAGAAAACTATTTTTAAATCAATACATCATACTGTTATTTATTTATTTTTTTTTTTTTGAAAAATCAGTTTTAAGACCACCTTGAATAATAATAAGATATGTAATACAATTTTTAAGACTATTAACTGCTAATCATTAAATCATCGATTAATAAATAAATGTTAACGGACAAAATTTGCATTTTGCTTTATGGCACATTACAACATCAGCAACAATATAAAATTTATTCTACTAAATGTTGTTGCAACAATAGCCAACATACCAGAATATTATCAACAAGTTTCTTTTGTTTCACTATTAATTAATATATCATTATACTTTTATAGAATATATAACCGAGAGAATAACGAATGAATAATAATAATAATAATAATAATAATAAAAATAATAAAAATAATAAAAAATAAATAATAATAACAATAATAATAATAATAAAAATAATAAAAAATATATTATAATAATAATAACAATAATAATAATACTAATAAAAAAATCTGTATAAAAATAAAGCCAACAATAATGAAAAGGTTTAATTACATAAATGCCCATGTAATTAAACCTACGCTAATTATATATATAGATTGATAAAATAGGTTAAATGTACAATAGAAAATTTCTAACTTTTTTTTTCTACATTGCTAATACATAACATATTTGAATAATAGAAACTGGAAATTATATTGAAGACCCTATAAAATATTAAGCATGTCTAAATTTATTTTCTCTATTTATAAAAAGCAACAAACGCGAATCGACTTCAATTTAAACCAAAAGAGGGGAAATGAAACAATAAAGGTAAAACGTAACAGTTTATAAAATCCCTTAATTAAATACTATATTTTTTAATTTTTAAAATCCCTTTTTGTTTTGATTCGACAATAATAATTTTTTTTTTTAAATACAGAAAAATGAAAAAATCGTATTACAATTTTTCTTAAAGTAAAATACAATGAAACAAAACAGTTTCAAAGAAAACAGAATAGAATTCCTCTTCAATGAAGAATTTAGAATTAAAAAAGAATTTAAAGAAAAGAAAAAGGAAAAAAAACGATGATTTTATAAATTTTCAACAAGAGTCTAATTTATTTTCGTTGAGTCCAACCTTATAAATACATCTTGGGGGGGGGAGGAGAAAAAACCGAGATACGAAAGGTCCTTGAGAAGGAGTGTTTTAAAAATCTATACATTCACGCGGATTGAGAGAAGACCCTAAAAAAATACAGAGACTATATCGATAAGTATCGCGTCGGTCAGATAAGCCTTGTCTCAAGTGTTATTCGTTCAATGTTTAAGTTCGGTAGTAAAACGGAAAAACCGGTCCAACTCACATTTCTCCCATAGGTGAAAAAAATTTATAAATATAAAGAAACGGATATTACAAACATTTATCTCTTTTAAACACATAAAATTGGTTCACTTTAATTATAATTATATTTTCTTTTAAACTCATTGGTTTCAAAGAAATTTATTTTCTACTTCTAAAAAAAAATAGAAAAAACAAATTGCAGTAAAAGAAAAAAAAAGAATTAATTTCCTAGAGCTATTTTCCATTATGTCTAATACCTCAAGTTTAAACACCAAAATTGCAAGAAAAGAAATGAAAGTCATAAACAAAAATATTCACAAATTTAACAAAAAGGTAGAGAGAGATTTAGAAAATATAAAAAACAATAGATTCTGGTTTCGATTTTTTGGCACAATAAAATAAATGTATAAGTCAGGTTTATTTTTTTCAACAGAAGGGATAATTACCCCCTATTGATCCTTCGTGTATGGATTCATAAGAGCGGAATCGTAAATCCCTAATACCTTTCTTTCTTTTTTTTCCTTTTTTTTGGAAAAATATTTCCGCAAACTATTTTTAAGTAAATTGTATCTTACCTGCGATCAAGCAGAACTCCACTGTGATGACTAGACGGACAACCCCTGGAGATGCTTCATCCCGAGCTTGGGGTCCATTCTCCAAAAGAGAAACAAAAAAAACTATCCCCTCAAGGGCATATCCCAGACAAAACAATGCAACACCTGTATCGAACTTTGCGAACGGCACTGCGTTTAAAGTACACTCTCACATCCCTGTATTCTTCTTTTTTTTAAATAGAAACACTTTATTCACCAACTGTCACAGAATTTAATTTTTTGCCCGAATTTTTTATAATTGTAATAAGAAAAATAATTATAAAAAAAAAGATGACGATCTCAACGTAAAAAAAAACAACACTTTTTATCTTCGAGCCCAAGCTCAAATTATAGTTCTACATTGTTCACATTTTCGCTCCTTTCTTTTTATACACTTTTAATATAAGCTACATGGAAAATTTCATTCTTAAAGTTGTCAAATCTTTTGAGAAACTACGCATATCGAAATAGAATTATTCTTCCAGTTGCCGTCGCTGACAATCTAAAACGAAAAAAATCACTCCTCACCGCCGAGTTCTTTCGATAATTTTTGAGGTTATGTTATAATTGGCGAATTTAGAAAAAAAAAATCTATCAACGATTTGAAAACGTTCGAGCTTATAAGAGTTTCCCTTTAATACGGATGGCCGGGTCGGCGAGCCAGCTTTTAAAGCTGGATCGAGATTCGACCTCAGTTCCCAGGGACGCGATCGATCACCACTTTTATAACTATAATTCACAAAAAAAAGACAACAATTGTTCCTATCAGTTTAACACTTGTTTCACACGTTAAATGAAATTGTCACCAATAATTGTCCACTCGTCATCCAAAAGACGCTTACCGTCGGATACAAATAGTCGTTCACTACACTTGAATCACTTTTTTCTTTACTATTAAAATTGTTGTGTGATTAAATTACATTCACAGCTTACTAAGAACTCAAAAAATTAACCACTTTCGTTTAAGAATTTCAGAGTAAATTTTTTTTTTTTTTCCCACAAAGAAAAAAACTCGTGTAACATATTCACCGTCCGACGTCTATTTTGTAACTGCAGAGAATTGCCATCATGCGAGCTCCGTGCAGCTTCCCCCCACTCTTAAAACTCTTTGTTCTGGAGCGATTGTCCCTTCTCAATAACGTAACTCCTCCCCTAAAGTAACGCCCTTGATGTGAACACACCCATTTTGTCGATGACCTCGCACTCGAATTTTTTTAAATCGTGTGGTTTTTCTTTTATTAGTTACTTGAAAATACATTAAAAAATTCCCTTCCATCATCAATAATCAACTCAATGATTCGCAATTTTTTTTTTTTTTTTAATGGTTATGTTTCTTTAACACGATTGTTGCACTACTTTTTTTTATTTCAAATTTTTAACCGTTTTTCTATATAGACATTTCTTTGTTTATTGCCGATTGCCCCCTGTAAAAAGGCGCCATCTGCATTATAATTTTTCAACTAAAATTCGTTCTATTATAACCCTATTTCTAATTATTAAAAGCACCGCCTAACAATTTTTCACCGATTTTGTAAATTTAATACTTCTGCACGAAAAATTAACGATTATTGTCGAATTAACATCGATTTGTTAATTTATTCACGATTAAATTTGTTCCTCCAATTTGCTTATCGCCTATGTGCCCCGCACTATTTTCACTGAATTTACTATTTTCTTTTCGATAAATCACTTCACTTTTATGAAATATCACAAGTTTAGATACCAAATTTACACCGATCGCCGTTTATTTAATGTGAAAATCGTTTTAAATTAATGAAAAAGTGATTCAAATTTTCTCTGATCATTTGCCGTGCGAACGCCATGAAAAATCGCGGGAAATTGGCAGTTTTGCACTTCCCTGAAGTATGTAACATTTACGTAAATCAACGTAATCGACTAATTCGATTAATCAATTATAATCGCACTTCCGCTTTTTAAACATTGTAATTAATTAATTATTTTTATTTAATATTTAATAAAGAAAAGTAAATTTTAATTACTAATAAAAAAAATAATAAATAATAATTTTAAATTAATTAATTTACGATCGATATGATAATAATAAAAAAATAAACAATATGAATAATGAGATTTGTAAGTAACCTAACCTCACAAATCTCGGCATTTACATTGTAAAATAAATAATAATAAAATTTACATTTTCGGTAAATTTGGAGGATTTGGAGGCAAAAAAGATTGCCGAAACCCGGGATTGAACCGGGGACATTTAGATCTTCAGTCTAACGCTCTCCCAACTGAGCTATTTCGGCAGATGTGTTCAAATTGCTAAATATCTGAACAAACTTTACAATTCACTTTTATATTCGAATTTCCTTAAAAAATACACCATTTATCTATTGTAATTTTGTTTTAAGATAATTATTTAATTGTAATTAAATTTCTCTAACGTCAACACTAGAAATTCTCGACTGTACTACGATGGGTACATAACCTAGAATGTTCAGGAACGTATGATTGAAAAACGGGCCCCAGAACATAGGGTCCATTTTTTAATATTACAAAAATAAAAAAAAAAGCTTTGGAAAGATTTATTTTATCTATTTAATTTTTTCGATTAGTTTATTAGAATTTTCTATGTAATTTGTAGTTAAAATTTTCCTTAGTTTTAAATTGTAAATATAATTTATTTACATCATAGAGTCGGCCCTATGTGTCACTTGATCCTGTAGATCCTGTTGTAAATATTCTAATATTTACAGTTATTTCAATTAAAACGAATTTTTATTATGTAGTTAATATAATATTAATTTGAATATTAAAGTTTTGATTAAAGAAAAGCAAAACACATTTGTTTAAAGATTCTGAAATCTGTAAGTATGCGCAATAAAAAGTTTTCGAATTTTAAATTTCAATTATTTTACATGAAATTATAATTTCAGTAATTAATTTCTATATATAATGTATAATTATCGGTATTGTGGCTTGTTAGCCTTGTTAGATAAAAATAAATTGAAGGAAAAAAATTAAATGGTGATATAGTAATAATACCTAACCTCAAAATTGAATTTCCCTTTTCGTTGTTTGAATTCGTATTTAATATTCCTATGTAAATATTTATTATAAATAATTCTTTTTAAATTACATTTAATTGTAGAAAAATCAGAAAAAAAATGCAGAGAGCAATGATAATGTGTAACGAAGTGCCGACTGAGGTTTTGACATTAGGTCGATGGGTTGAGGAAGGATTGGCACCAGATGGAAAAAAAGATATAATTGTCATTATACCGGGTAATCCGGGAATTCCAGCGTTTTATGAGGAATTTTTAAAAACTCTTAAATCAAAATTACCACCTGAAACGCCAATTTGGACTTTGGGTTATGCGGGATTTGTACAACCAACTAGTGAACTTCTCACAATGCCTAACAATAAAAGACTTTATGATTTACGAGGACAATTGGATCATAAGGTATAAGAAATTTTCATTAAATAATAATTATAACTAAAAATATGCTTTTTGTTATTAAAATTATTTATAAATAAATAAAATTACTAAATTTGAAAATACAATTCTTTACAAAATTCAGTTTAAATTTTATTAATAAATATTTCGAATTAATTAAAATTTTTTATAAAATAATCTACTTTTTATTTTAATAGGCGGAATTTATTAAAAAATACGTTCCAAAAGACGCGAGACTTCATCTTGTGGGACATTCAATTGGAAGTTGGTTCATTTTAAATCTACTTAGAGATGAAGAAATCGAAAAACGAGTTGTAAAATCCTATTTATTGTTCCCAACAATAGAACACATGGCCGATAGTCCTAATGGACGATTTCTCATTAATGTGGTAATTATTAATTAATAATTAATTAATACCTAATAATTATTAATTAATTAATTTCATTTAAAAACTAAATCTTTTCATTAAATTTTCAGGTATTAAGAATTGCCGCATTTCTTGTATTTTTAGCGTGGATTTTTTCCCTCTTCCCATCATTTCTACGTTATTTTTTGGTTTCAACATTTGGTTTATTTTATGGTTATCCAAAAAAAAGTACATCGGCAATTCTTCAATTATTAGAACCGCAAGTGTTGAGAAAAGTTTTTGCATTAGCAAAACAAGAAATGATTGTCGTTAAAGAATTAGACGATGAAATGGTGAGGAAAAATAAAAAGAAACTTTGGTTTTATTATGGTACAAAAGATGGTTGGGTACCAGTTAGTTATTATCAAAATATGCGAGTTAAATTTCCTGATGTTGATATTCAACTTTGTAAACGAAATCTTTATCATTCGTTTGTATTAAAAAATTCCATTGAAATGGGACAAATTTTAGGTAATGTGATTAATGAAAATATCTCTTAATTAATAAATTAAGGGAAAAAAAATTGTGATATACATCGAAATAATAATTAAACACAAGATGCGATAATTTAGTATAATTAGAAGAAAAAAAAAATCGCATTTTTAATAGGAAATAGAAATTCTTTGCTGTGTTTAATTTGTAAAATTTTAATTTTTATATTCAATAATTTAATAATTATTTATAATTTTTTATAGCTATTTATAAAATTAGCAGCAATAATTGTTATTAATATTAAAATTGTAATTTAATTATTTCTTTAATTAAAAATATGGTAAAATTGAATTTCTGTTTAGAATTTATTTTAATAAGCCTTATTAGAATTTAATTTTATTTTAATGATCTCTGTGAAATTTAAATCTCCCGCTTTGGGCATTTAAATTATACCACAGGGCGAAAAAAATATTCATATACATCACTGTTGATCACGTGACCACTTGTAGAGCAAATAAACGAAAATATTTATAGAATTGCTTTAATTAAAAATATAAATTAATTTTCTCGTTAAATAAAAAGTACATATATTTTATTATTTGCACAGGTGAGAATTTTTTCTAATTTATATTGTTTTTTTAATTGATTCTAAGAATGTTCTCATTTTTTTTTGTCACCTATTTTTTTTATTCTAGCTTTGAGCGGTGGTTGTTTGAGAGAGATATTTTTTTCTCCGGCGGCGCAGTCTTTATTTGCGAACAGTGATGAACGAGCTTGTTCTCGGCTTGTTGAGAAATTGAGTGTTCGTTTAACCCCGGACAATACAGGACAATTAATTTTACTTTAACTATATTCAGTGAAACAATATATATATATACTTGAGGATACAGGTTATTTTTGGAGAAGGAATTTTTAGATAGTGTGATATAAAAAGGAATTTGATAAAAGAAAAAAAAATCACTACAAAAATGTCGAGAGTGACTGTTATTACTTTTTGCGTTCTAAGCTTATGGGTTTGTTCATCCTATGCAGGTTAGAATTTTTTCTTTTTACTTTTTAAATAAACAAATATAATTTTGTAGAAATTTTTTTCCAAACGGGGTTATTATATACCTATTTATATAAAATAATTGGGGTTCCTTGGCATCTCTTTGTTCTTTTGTTCAGAAAAAGAAAATAATTATATTTTCTATATATAAAAATTCAAAAAAAAACTTCTAAAATATTTTACGTAACGCACTAAAAATATGTATTTATTATTATTACTTATTTATTATCAACTCTAAATTATTTTAAAAAAAAAATTTGTAATTAAATTTCATTGAAAACTGTTAAGTTTCATATATAATCTTTTAGAATTGTTTAAAATGAAATATTTTAATTATCATAAAATTTTTAATTTGAGGTCTAGTTTTTGATAATGTTTTACGAATGAAAGGAAATGCCAATATAAACTGGTTATTTTGTTTGATATCATGTGAGTCATCATTCATATCACTGCTTACGAATGTTGAAATTTAATTATGTATACACTTACTTGTTAAAAGATTTTGATGAAATCACCGAATAATTTTTAATTTCTTTTCTTCTTTGAGTCAGGTGTTTTTTTTTTAATCTCCTTAAAATGTTCCAAAATTTGTGTTATTAAATTAATATCAAATTTTATTTTGCAATTATTTTTTTTTCCAGGGGGTGGAATGAGTTGTAATGTTATTGGAGGAACTTGTCCAACATTTTTATCTTCGGATGAAGATACATTTTGCTGTCCTTCAGAAAGAGGCGAATATTGTTGCAATGCCAGTAAATTTATTGAACTCACAGGGTAAATAAAATAATTTTTTAAAAAAAATGGTAATCTAAAAAAAAGAAATAATAAAAAGCAATTTTTTATTATTTAAAAATAAAAATGAAATAAAATTATTATTTTTCTAGAACTAAAGCTATCTTGACAATTGTTCTTGGAGTTTTATCGTTGGTGGTGATATTCATCTGTTGTTTATGCTGTGCTTGCTGTAAATGCTGTCCTTGTTATAAAAAACGAGAAAGAGGAATAATTTATGGTGAGAAAATTCTATTTCTTATCAAAAGTACTTTTTCAAATTTGTTTAATAAAAGAATTTTTAAAAAAAGGAAAATCAATTATAATTTGGTTTTTAATTGTTATTTAAAAATAAAGAAAAAAAATGATTTAACAATGTTAGGTGAATTCTTTATTGTAAAAAATATAAATTATATTTTGAAACGTGAGTTAGTACCAAGTTGAAATTTAATACTTTACCGAGGAGAGGGAAAAAGTACTTTAGATAAACGAAGTTAATTTTTATTATGTCTATGATTAAATTAACATTATTTTTACTTTTTTTTATAGCTCAGGGTCCCAGCACAGTTGTACAAGTGAATCAAACTCCTGGAAATAATCAATATACACAACCGCTGTATCCTGCACAACCAGGTTTTCTTTTTTTTCCATTTTTATACCCTTTACTTTTTAAAAAGTAATTAGAATAACTAAAATCTTTTTAAAATTTAAATTTTTTTTAAAAAGTAATTAGAACATAAATTTTTATTTAGATTCTAATTTTTTAAATATAATTTTCAGTTATGCCGCAGCCACCACCTAGTTATACTTCGGAAGCTTATACAAAACAATCTCCATACAATCCTAATTATCCAAATCTATAAAAGAATCACATCTCATCATTTAATTTTTGATGAGTACATCTTTTTTTTTTTTTTTAATTTTAAATATAGTTCAGAAATATTATCAACCAAAGCCAGTGAATTGTTAAAGATTTACTATTTCAACAGACTTTATGTTTTGAAAAAGAAAAACTTAAATATCGTTTTGTAAACGAAAAAAAAAATTTACAAAGGCACAAACATTTAAAAATGACATTTTTATGAATGAAAAATTTCCATTCTCTTTATTTTGATTATTTTTCTTGTTTTAATTTAAAAACGTTCTGGTATATTTGAAAAAAAATTAATACCTACAAAATATTGACACAAAAAAAAATGACTATTTTGATTTGCCTTTGTGATGTTTTTTTTCCCTTAAAAAACGATTGGCCAAGAAAAACTTATTTTTTATTATTAAAAATATCAAATCAAACATAAATCTATTATTTTTATATAAATATATCTATAGATAAGCATTATATTTAAGATATTAAAATAATATCCCCCAGTGTAAAATAGAAAAATATGCCATTTTTTACAAAAACTTTCAAACAGTATTTGTATGTAGTTATAAAGAAGGCGTGAATTTCATTTAAAAAAAAAAAACAATGCTTATTTATAAAATTAGCTAATGTTTTTTTTCGTTTCTCTTCGTTCGATATTATTTTGTCAAACATACTTCCAAATGAAAAACTGTTTATATTTTTGTAATTTCCATTTGTTAAATTGCACTCACTGCCTGTTAAATCTAAATTCAACTTTTATAAATATGTATTTTGCACACATTAAAAAATAAAATAAAATTTTTTCATAAAATTCACCATTTTTCTTATTTTATTATTATTAATAAATTATAAATAATATATCTTTTTTTTCATCTAATTATTTAGAATTATAATTTTTAAAAAAGGATTTTAAAATATTGAACACTAATTTGGGAAAATATAATAAGTATATTTTGTCTCCTATTGTACAGGATTTATAAATGCTCAAATTGTTAATTAACTTTTGGTGTTAAATTTCATTCATAACACACATTGTCATTCTACATTGTTTTTTTTTTACATTCACACATTATATACTTAACACGACTAATATTCTCTAAAAAATAAAATCTTACACAAATTCGTGGAATAATTTTTTTTTGTTTCTAAATAAAAAGATTGACTTTTAGGAAGGTACATATCGAAAATTGACCAAGAAATATTTTCTCAATTGTATAATAATAATTTTAGAACGATAGACAAAATAAATGAAGAAAAATTTATTAGAAATAGATATTCTTTTTTTTGGCCCTTTCTTTTTATTAATAGAGCAATTCTACTTTTTGGCATTAAAATCACGATTTACTAAATATATTTATATATTATTTATATTGTTTTTTAAATATTAAAATTGAATGAATTAAATTGTAGAAGAAAAATAGAAAATACTTTTTTTTTTTTAGTTAAAATAATATATAAAAGAAAAGTCATCTACATTTGTAAAAATAGTTTAAAAAAAAAAAATTAAAATGGTTTTTTAATTATCAAGGTAAAATATATATAAGTATTTTTGGACTCAAGTTTTAACCCCGCAATTAGAATCGAAAAAATTCTAATTACATTTACAGTTAATTAATTGGACGTTTTCTATAATTAAAACATTTAAATATTTGTTCGCTCTACGTTAATATGAAAAAAATATTTTTTTTTCTCAGTCGGATTCTTTAAAATTCATTTTTTTTTTTTTTGTAAATTCGCACCAAATTTTGTTATATTTATTTTATATATAACAAAATTTGAAAGGAAAATTCAAAATTTTTCAAGCGAAAATTAACAAAAATATTAAAATTATATAATTTTACTATTTAAAAATTATTTGATTATCAATTAATGGCTAGTTTTGTTTTTTATACTGAATTACAGAAAAATAAAATTCTATGTCAAAAAAAAATAGTCATGAGCACTTTGCAGGATTCATTATTGACTTTGATTGCATCAACAATTATCACGTTTATAGGAGAGACATTTTTTTTTTTTAAACAATTCTTGGAAATTCGGAATCTTAAATTCATATTCTATCTACAAAATTATACAAACATCTTATGTACAAATTTTCCTCTTTGAATAATAATAATAATTCGTCTAGTGAGTTTGTTTCTTTTTTAATTCTCTAAAGAGCAAAATTATTATTATTTTTTTTTTTTGAACCCTGTTTAAGAAATCAAACATCCAGACTGTGAGGAATTAGTATCCAAATCTTTTAAATTACTGTGACTACCGCGAATACTTGTTTCTTCAAAACTCGGTGAATCGAGAGAATTTTCTTCTTCGAGCGATGTATGACTAAGTGAACGTGATACATTACCTCGTTGTTGACTACCAGCTGATGGTGCAGGACTTGGCGATGGACTCTCGGGAATTTCTTGCTCCTGTTGTTGTTTCGTTATAATTAAACGATTGAGCAACGATATTTGACCCTGAATTCCTGACATGTAGGATCGATATCCAAGGCTGAAATTTCAAAATGCCATTAAAAAACAAAAAACCAAAAATTAAACAAAATTAAAACAAATATAACAAAAAAATATATTTAATAAAAAAAAACCCTTGCCATTCATTGTGTGACCATCGTGTCAATAATTGAAGACCATCTCGTAAATTAATAGCAGATTCGAGTGTTTGCATTGGCGCGTAAGCTGCTCTAACTGTTCTTGACATAGCCGGAGCGTCTCTTAAAACGGTGGCTAAAATAGCGGCCCATCCAAGGCAGCCAGCTTCAAGGAACAATTGCAAAAGATAACGTAATTGAACCTCAGCCCGACTAACTGGACCCACAGGCGAAGGAACGTGAATTTCAATTGGTTCTATTGGCTCCGTTGTCACCCAACAATTTCCAACTCCCGTTCCAACAATTGATTCAATATCATCTTTCCAAACTGTACTCGTGTCGCTGATCACACTATTTGTATCTATTGACAAAAATTAAAATTAAATTAAACCTAAAGGTATATTAAAATTAAATTAAAAAATTACCTTGAAGCATTTGAGAAGTGAGATTCGCTTCAGTAACAGGAAACTGTGTCTCAAGACTTGCAACAGGTGAAATTAAACTTGTATAAGGTGGACGACTACTTGGTAAACTTGTATAGCCACTATCGGAAAAATCAACAATCATATTAACCTCCTCTGGACTATCGAACGTTGACGAACGAATTGATTTCAATGAATTAATACTTGAACGACGAAATTTATTTAAAGTTGGCAATGTCAATAATGGATAGGGAAAAATAAAATCCTCATGGACGGCTTTTAAGGCAACGACAAAATCATCTAATTTTGCCGCACGATCTCTCTCGCGTGCTAACCATGTAACTAAATGAAAATCAAGACGCGCCGCAAAACGTCCAAGATCAGTTAAACGTCGCGCTGACAATAAACGTCGTGCATGTCTCTGCAAAATTACATCAATAAAAAATTCCTCCGCTGATCCTTCTCTAAAAAACAGAAAAAAAGGAAAATTAATTATTTTTTCAATGAATATTATTATAGTGATTATTTTACTTGTTATCATTCTTCTCGGCTTTGACACTTGGTACCGATTTTTTTCGTCTCATTACAACATTTTTTGTCTTCTCCAACATTGACGATGGTGTTTGTTCTTTATTTCCAGTTTCAGTTTGCATTTTTGGAGAAACAGTTGTACTGTAACTTCGACTTCTTGACACCTGCATTGTTCCCAAAACAAGTGATAAATCATCTTCCTGAGTTGAAATCGGCGGAGTTTGCGGTGGACCTCCTCCTAATTTTGATGTTGCACCCCAAGAAGTTCGTGGCGATTCAACGTCATTTGGATCTTTAAACGAAATAAACAAAATAATTCAAATAATTGCCAAAGAAGGAGTAATAAAAAATACACTCACCAATCGCCCTGAGGAAGCGAACTAAATCTTTCGACAATTCCCATCGTCCTTGCTCCAAAGCGGCGTCAAGTAACAATGTCGCATGCTGTCTACTCACTGAAGATGGTTCTAAATTTTGTAAAATAATTAAATAACTTGCCGCCGTATCGAGTTCCTGACGTTGTAGACAGTCTTGTAATAATTTTTTTGGCGGTCCAGCCACTGAGAATAAATATGGCCAAAGGGCAATTTCCGTTTTTCTTGCACATTGTACAACAGCTCGTGCCCAAACACCGGGAAATTCACGAATAAATTCAACAACCGATGGTAATTGAGCGTCGGGTATTGGTTCCTTGCTTGTTGCCTCTTCCTCAAGTACCTCATGTAAAAGTAATTCCAATGAATGGGGAAAATATGGTAATGCCGAACACGATCTCGCTATATCCCATGCGTGATAACCCAAATTACGTTGAATCAATTGTCGTAGAATTTGATGTAGATAAACTTGACTCTAATGCAAAAGATAAATTTTTGTTAATAATTAAATTTAAGGAATAGTTTTTAAAAAGAAAAGAAAATTGAAACATACCGTGAGTTCGAGTAAACAGAATGGTAACGAAAAAAGAGAATGCGTGTCAGAAGTATAGAGAACTGTGTCATTTTCAGCGCCAAGTAAAATTGCTTCCTCGAATAAAATAGCCAATGGATAGATTCTCAAATGAAATGGTAGCATTATTCTTTTACTCATAAATGTGTGTGTTTTGTCTTGTTGATTACGTGGGAATAATGGAAGCCAAACGCGCATTCCATGAGCACCACAAAATAGCCAGAGAGCTTCTGTTAAATGTGGTTTGTCACGTCTTGATCGCCAAGGTACCCAGACATTTTCAACGCACGACGCCAATACAGTTGGAGCACCACAGGTAAACAACTTAGCAAAAAATAATTTCAATTATTTTTAAATAACAACGAAAAGAATTAAATATTAATTAACAAAGAAAAAGAATATTTTCTCACCACTTCCGAATTGTCGGTACAATGTTCACGTTGAACCATCAGAAGTCTTCCAGAAACGTTTAACAAAAGACTCTCGGGATGTGGATGACTTCCTGCAGTTTCCGCACGAATTGTCGTCAATGTTGCACTCACAACACAAGCCGGATGAACACAAAGTCCACTAATATCAATTGTTTGCGTTCTCATTAATTCAAGACTCCCTGTACCTGAAAAAATTATTAATTAAAATAATTTATATATAATACTAAATTCGTAAATTATTTTAATAATTTAAAACTAAAAGTAGATTTTTAATTTACAACAAAATTGTTTACTACCTTCCTTTCCATCGAGCACCATGTCGTAGATACTAATTTGAGCGTTTGCGCAAAATGTTAAAAGATGATTTTTCGTTGTATTGAGCAAAAGTACCTGAGATGGCATTTTTATACTTCTAACATAACTATTATCCAAACGCATATCGCGTGGATAAATTCTTATTTCGTCTTTATCCTCCAATAATGAATAGCTACTGACAATAAGAAATCCACGATGCCACAATAAACCGCCAGTTACTATAAAATCACGTTCCTGTGTTTCATTGCCAAATAATTTCCATTTTCGCGATGGAAGTGAATAATGCGCCAATCCTGTTCGTCCAGCTACGGCAATACTTAGGCCTTCATTGTCAATTGCCGTGAACTGAAAACAATTTTTTTAAATTACATTTTTTTTTAAATTTATAAAATAATGAACCTTTTTAATAAAATTACTTACTCGAATTGGCCAATTGGAGCCGCTATAAGCAATTGGAATAGGAACAACTAACCATTGTTTTGAACCAGAAAGTGTCTGTAAGGAACTATCTAAAGGCGTTTCATTTGTGAGATGAAAACTTCCATTGTATGTTGAAACGCCACTTCCAAGATTTAAATAAAGACGATCCTCGCCTTGTAAATATAAATGACCATGATGGCCCTTTAATTGAAAAAATAGCAATTAACAAAAATTATTTTAATAAAAAATAAAGAATTTTTTTTAGAATAGAATAGAATTTTTCGAAAAAAACAAAATTTTAATAAGAATCTCACCATGCATGGATTAACAGTTAAAGGACTTTTGACAAAATCCATTTGAATTAAAGTTCGCGTATTACTAATTTCATTATTTCCATTTTGTTCCAATGCAGGCGAAGGAGATTCTCTCAACATCCACAATTGATATCCCTCCGCGGACCATTCCTGAAAAATAATACAAATCATTAAAATAAAACAAAATAAGAATTAATTTTTTTCAACAAAATTTAATTTACAAATTATAATAATTATTATTATATATTAATTATATTATTATTCTCAATAATATAAAATAGATTCCTATAAAAAATATTAATTTTTATTTTAAATAATTATTTTTTAGACGAATTTTTATTTTTTGAATACTTTAAAATAAAAAACGAATTTTTGCGGTAAATTAATGAGGCGCAGTAGATTTTTTTTTCTAAATTAAAACAATCAATGGAGATAAAAATTTACCATTGTGTGAATGTGAAGAGGATTATCGCGTGCAAGATCGACTCTTAAACCATAATCCCATTTTAATGAACAAAGAAGAAGTGCTCCAAATGTACTCCAAATAGCTAGACCACCACCCTCCCAGGCCATTGCTATTGCACAACTATCTGGAGTCCATCGTAAACAAGTCACTTGTCCCGGCTTTCCTGGATAATCTTTCGACGATAAACTTAAATTATGAGAAATCTCCAATCCTCCTGTTGTTTCATCGACATAATAAACAACACCTTCGGAACTATTCATGAAAAAAAGAGGAAAAGAATTAATTCAAATTCAATTAGCAAATTTCTATAATAATGAAAAATATAATTACTTTCTTCTACCAAAAACAATTAAGCGATATTTATGATTAACTGCAGCACATGTTGCATCGTCTAAATCTTTTGCCCAAATACCTTGTACTTGCTAAAAGACAAAAAAAAAAAAGTGTTACCTAAACAAATATTTAATTCTTTTAGAAAAAGTGAAACGTACATTTGGATCGAACTTTAAAGATTGAGCAGTTAGGAATGCAGCTTTTCCATTGCTTAAAACAATAGCGAATCCTCCAACTAGAGGTGAATATTCAATATCCTTGACAAAAACATTATTTTCCGTTATTGGTACAGCGACTGTTGATATTTGTTGATCAACACTAAATGGAATTCTCCCCAAATCCAAAGAATAATCACGATTTACTGTGCCGTCCCATTTATGTCGTAGGATATGACTTGTTTTTGTTGCAACCATAAGTTCATCGCGAATACAAACTAAAGAACTTATTCCACCATCAATCCATGCAGATTTTTCCTATAAATGCAATTTATCTAAATTTAAATACAATTTTAGATAAAATTTATCTAAATTTAAATACAATTTGTCTACATTTAAATATACAATAAATAGAAAAATATACCAGACATAAAAAAAAGCTGTTCAAATAGAAAATTTAAAACTTACAAAATTTAATGTCAATGATGGAATAACTTCTTTGATAAAAAGCTCAGCGCTGTCTCGTCTTAAACTTGTAACTGGTGAATCACGTTGCTCATAAAGACCATGAGCATCCGGACCATTATAGGAAAGACGATAGAACAATAAATAACTATCGGAAGTCTAAAAAAGAAATAAAAAATTTTTTTTTTTCTTCTTAAATTTTATATTAAAAATATTCGTCTACTTACGGAGATAACCAACATACTGGAGTCCGGTCTCCATTGAATTAAAGTATTTTCTCCATACTTTTCTATGGAATCCGGTGGACGTTTTATAAACACAATTGGAACACATGGCTGCAAAAAAAACAATATCTAAAAATTCTTTTTATTTTTAAGAAACAAAAATTTTCAAAAATTTTAAATTAAATTCCCTTTGAACTAAATTTTATTTTTTAAATAAAAATAATAATAATAATAATTAATTTAACAAAATAATTATAATTTTGTATAAATATTATGTAAATATTAAAATTTTCAAAACAAGAATTCTAGAAATTGAAATGTAGATCACTAAAGTTAAGTGACGTGGACAAAATTATAACCTTAATATAAACAAATTTAATAATTAAATCTTACCTTACAATACCAGATGGCTAATGAATTTGATGTAAGAATGGAGAATAGAATTTTATCTCTATTACATACAACAGCACGAATTTTCTCAGGCTCCGACGAGTTTAAGACTCGTGGCCAACCTATTGGAAAAAACATGACTTTTTTTTTTTTGATATTATAAGTAAAGCTCTAAATTTCCTTACATAGCTTTCTGAATCAATTTACAATTATTCGAGGATTTCATTTCACTAAGACACTTTCACTATTTATAATATTCATACATTTCGTTTAGAAAAAAAAAACTACGCTTTGACATATTAAGTAAACATGAATTAACCTCAAAATTATCTAGGACAGTTCAACTGTCATTGAAAATACGAAGTTGTCAACTTATCGAACATGTTATATCGAAATCTATCGAAATTGTATTTCAAAATACTCGGGAAAGTTTTAAATATAAAATATTTATCTTAATTTTATAAAGATATAACATTTAAATAAATAATAATATAATATAATAAAATAAATTATTTCTGACAATAAATAATATGGAAAAGAATATTTAAAGTGTTACGTTCCTTTTACTTTTAATCGCGCCATTTTATCGAAAGATTGATTTCCAAGATGGCGGATAATTTGACAAATGTCAAAGTGTCATCTGATATCTGTATGTTTCTGTCAGTTTTTGCTTTGTTGTCAACTAAATACAGTTCTCTTATCGATATTCAACGTGTATTTTAACATTTTTAATAATATCACAATTCTAAATATATAATTGAATTGATTTTACGAGCATTTATAACCAAAATTTTTCATTAATTATCGTGATAAATGTAATATTTATCTCATCTCGTTAAGAATCATCATCATCAGTTCATGATAAAAAATCTATGAACACATTTCTAGTGGAAAAAGAAAATATAAAGATCAATGTTTAGCTACTCAGGAAGTTTTATGAATAAATTGTCAAGAATGTCAAATATTAAATTAGCAATTATTAACTACTTAGGAAGAATCTGAAGACCGACAAGAATATATAAATATTTGCAAGTAAGTCCATAGAAATGAAAAATAATCTGCCATATTAGATATTGATAATATGATTTGTAGTGTGTTGTCTCCTTAAATGTCAAGAATATCGTTTATAAATGCAACGGGGTCACTTTTATATATATTTATTACTCTATATCTATATAGGACATAATTTACACTTTTGTGAAAAAAAGGTTATATGCCTATAAAAAAACTGTGAATCTGTTTTTAAAAAATCTTATTAATATAAATATAAAAATAAATATAAAAACTAAAGATTACAATTAAATTTTAATTATTGATTTATGTTTATTATAGACGGAGAATTTCTTTTTAAACAATGATGGAGTTAAGTCACAGTTTGACTCTTAATGAGGATGCTCTCAATCAAATACCTGAAGCAAAACGTCCAGTTTTTGTTTTTGAATGGCTGCGATTTTTGGATAAAGTTTTGATAGCTGCTCAAAAAGTAATTTTATTTTTATGGCAATTTATATAATATGAATCTTTTTTTTTTTATGTTTAATATGAATCCTTTTTTTTCTTTTTCTTAGAATGACATTAAGGGATGTCAACAAAAATTAGTGGAACAGTTAACAAAACATATGCAAGGAGCGCCAGGACCTCCAACTCGTCGATTAATTGCAAGATGTCTTGCTACATTATTTAGTGTTGGTGACACATTTTTACTTTTTGATACTGTTAACAAATGCAATGATATTCTTAAAAATAAAGACGATTCTCCAAGTTTTCTCCCTACCAAATTGTAAGTAATTAAAAAAATGTTTTGCCCTTTTTTTTGTTGGTGATAATTTTTTTTAAATAATTTATTTTTCTTTACAGAGCTGCCATATGTTGTGTTGGTTGTATGTATGAAAAATTAGGAAGAATGATGGGTCGCTCCTATGAGGAAACAGTTCAAATTTTAATAAAATCCCTTCGTTCAGCAGAATCACAAACTCGAATTGAAATAATGTACACTTTGGAGAAAGTATGTATATTTTTTTTAATACTATAATTATTTTGTCTAGAAAAATAGAATTATTTTAGAAAAAAAAAAGGTTTCTAAAAATCTATAAATTGCTCTTAATGTAATGTTTTAGGTTTGCGCTGGGATGGGATCGGCAATTACCAACGTACATAAAGAAATTTACAAAGTATGTCGACATTGTTTAACTGATAGAGTTATGGCTGTTAGATGTGCCGCTGCGAAGGTAATTAATGTTAAATAAAATTTTTTATAATAAATTTGTGAAAAATTTTATTTTATTAATTATTTTTAATTTACTATTAAAAATTTTTTTCAGTGTCTTCTTGAGATGTTGAATCATTCACCATTTTTGTATACAACAGAAATTGAAAGTGTTGCAACTCTCTGTTTTCGGGCATTTGAGGGATCAAATTATGAAGTTAGATGTTCAGTTGCCAAACTTTTAGGTGCACTTGTTGCAATGACACAAATTCCACCACCGAAAGGACAAAATCCTTCAGGTACTGAGAAAAAGAACCTTAATTATATTTATTTTCACAAAATTTAAATTTAATTTATTTCTAAATTAATTATTTGCTAATTTTTCAGCAACTCAGAGTAAATCAACAAAACAAATATCATTAGAGGAGGTGTTAAATATCTTAATGTCAGGATTTCTAAGAGGCGGTGTTGGCTTTCTAAAAGGAACTGGAGAAATAATTAAAGGCAGTTCCGGTGTTAATAGAGAAGTACGAGTTGGTGTAACTCACGTGAGTATTATTTCTAAAAATTTATTTAAATATTATTCGAAATTATAATTTAAAATATCAAAAATTAAAATTATTTTGAAATATAAATTATTTTCCAGGCTTATGTTGTGTTTGTTCAAATATTGGGCGGTACTTGGCTGGAACGAAATATAGGAACATTGGTGGCACATGTTTTAGATTTAGTTGCTAATCCAAAAGCCGCGAGTTCTCACGTTGATGCGGTTTATTCGAGAAAATGTATCAATTTTATTTTACGTGGAACAATTGGAAAATTATTGGGCGAAGGCGCTCAGGCTGCGGCATGCAAAGAAATTGCACATATTATTTTAAAACAAATGAATTCAATTGGTGAGTAAAAAAAATAGAAAAGAAAAACATTAATTTTAAAATTAAGGTGAATTTACTTAAAAAGAAAATTAATTTACAGATTTTAGTCCGGAAAATGCAAAAGACTTCAATCAGGAAACTTTGTTTAGTCAACATTTATTGGTTTGTGCTTTGCAAGAAATGGGTAATTTAATTTTAGGCCTTGGCACAACAGCGTCAAATCTTCTGTCAGATCAATCGTTAAGTAAGTTGAAATTTACAAAAATTACAAATTTACCTTCTATTATTTGATTAAAAAAAATTAATTTTTATTTTAAAATTAATATATTTATTTTATGATTAAATTTTCAAATTTCTTTTTATTTAGATTTGATTGATACTGTGATGGCAGTATTGGTTCATCCGTGTCAGGCAGCTCGACTTGCGGCAGCATGGTGTTTGCGTTGCATTTGCGTTGCTGTTCCAAGTCAAATAACACCATTGATCGATCGTTGTGTTGAAGGAATTGAAAATATGCGAAGTTCACCGGAAGCAATAACAGGATATAGTAGTGCATTGGCTGCAGTTTTGGGAAGTGTTCGACTATCGCCACTTGGAGTTCCGCACACAAAAGGAAAGGTAAATATTAAAAAAAAAAAAACTATTTTATAATTTAATATATTTTTTTATTTCTCTCTTTTTTTGCGATTATTCTTAGTTTTCAGAAATGAAAATATTTACCGCTTTAAATTAAACAAAAATGTAATTAAATGAAGTAACAAATTTTGTTAACAGATAATTTTCAATACGGCGGAAGAATTATTGAGAAGTGCAAGTCAAAATAGTAGATTGTCATTGAATAGAACACACGCGGGATGGCTTTTAATTGGAGCAATAATGACATTGGGAACGGCAGTTGTTAAAGGATTATTGCCAAGAATGTTGTTACTTTGGAGAAATTCATTTCCACGATCGAGTAAAGAGCTTGAGAGTGAAAAAGCAAGAGGAGATGCTTTTACATGGCAAGTGACATTGGAGGGAAGAGCTGGAGCTTTGTCGGCTATGCATAGTTTTCTTTTGCACTGTCCAGAACTATTAAATGACGATATCACAAGAAGATTACTTACGCCAATTGAATCTGCTCTCGCTATGCTTACAAAGTGTGTATTCCTTTTTTTCTCCTTTTTGTTTTTAGTATTTGTATCTAATTTTATATTTTATTTTACTTTTTTTTCAGTTTATCAACTGTATTGAAAAGCTACGGTCAACAATTGAAAGCTCCAGCTGCAATGGTTCGATTACGTCTCTATGAAACTCTATTGTTGTTACCGTCGCAGACGTTTGAAGGTAATAGAAGAAAAAGAAATATTTTGTGATAAGAATTTTTTTTAATTTCAAAATTTGTATTTAATAAACAGGCTCCTATACGCATTTATTGAGAATGTTGGTTTCGGAATTCACTTTGACGGATAATTCAGGAAATACAACAACTTCAATGCTTCGTGCTGTTTGTCATGCAAATGATTCTGTCATTCTTGGTACCTGGCTACAAGAAACTGATCATCGAACAATTGAAGATCAAGTTAGTATTGTTTTTTATACAGTAAAAAAAAAAGAGAGAATTGTCTCGAGATACCTTTAAATATTTCCTTTGTATTTCCTTTCCTAACGTTGATTGATTCGTGTCTTAGATGGAACCAAACAGAAGAGCCGATTTGGAACATGTGAGTAAAAAGGAGTGTAACTTGTTTTTTTTTTGTTGAAATTATTTCTTTGAAATTGCGTCACTTCGTTTCGCTAATTTTCGTTGCTTTTTTCAATTTTCTTCACTGTTATTCCTTTAGATTACTCTTTCCATTACTCACTTTCATATTCCCTTATTTCTTCTTTATTACAATGTAATAATAATTAGAATATATTCTATATATATATTTTCTTAATTTCTCTTATAATTATTTTCTTTCAGATTTGTTATCATTTAAAAGTCAACTATCTAAAATTGTTTCTGATTTATATTTTTCAGTTGCAGCCAAATAGTGCGGCAGGTTCAGGTGCTCTTGAACATAATTCATGCTGTTTGTATCGACCAGTTCCACCCGTAAGTTTTTTTTTTTATATATTTTTAAATATAAAATACATATTTTTAAAAAATTGATTCTTTTCAGAATGATTCAATTCCTGGTCCTTTACCATTGGGCGTTGCAGTTATCGATCTTTCTGTTTCACTATTTGGACAAATTTTTCCACGAGTGGCAAATAAACATAGATTACAAATGTTGGATCATTTTAGTGAATGTATTAAACATGCAAAATCGGGTAGACAAGAAGCTATTCAAATGAATATTTTCACTGCTGTTCTCAGTGGATTAAAGGGACTCAATGAAGCAAAAACTGGATTTGGTCAAGAGGATGTTAAAAAATCAGCGACAAATATTATTATTGTAAGTGAATTTTTTTTAGCAATTAATTAAAAACAGTAAGAGAAAGATTAATTTAATTAAAGGAAGAGGAAATTAATAAATTTTTATTTACAGAGTACATTAATAAGTAGCAATGCAATATTGAGATGGGCTGCAGGCGAGGCTGTGGGAAGAATGGCACAAGTGATTTCCGATCCGAAATTTACGGCCGAATTGGCACAGACAAGTTTCGATAGATTGAAATCAGCACGAGATGTTGTTAGTCGAACTGGTCATTCCTTGGCATTGGGTTGTCTTCATAAATATGTCGGTGGTATGGGATCTAGTCAGCATCTTAATACGAGTGTCAGTATTTTATTGGCACTCGCACAGGATAATTCATCACCTGTTGTACAGGTAAAATAGAAAAAAAAAACAGTTTTCGTGGAAAATTAATTAAAAAATAATTCCTAGAACAAATTTTGTATTTTCTTTCTTTTTTTTTATTTAACTAAAATAATTTTTCAGGTTTGGTCATTGCATGCACTTGCTTTAATTGCCGATTCGGGAGGACCAATGTTTAGAGGCTACGTTGAACCAACTTTATCATTGGCTTTGACTCTTTTATTAAATGTTCCACATTCTTATATTGATGTTCATCAATGCATTGGAAAAGTTCTCTCTGCCCTCATCACTACAATTGGTCCAGAACTTCAAGGTTAATTATACAAATTTTTCTCGTTTCTTTTTTTTTTTTTTTAATTTTTAATATTAATTTTTCTCGTTTAGATTATGAAAATTATTACAATCGTTCAATTTTCTCGGTTAATTAAAAAAATTGTTTTAATTAACAATACCCTTTTTTTTTAGGAAATACATCTTCGATTTGTATGGCGAGATCATCATTTTTGTGCGCTTGTGCTATAATGCAAGATCATCAGGATCCTCTTGTTCAAGCTGAAGCAACTGGATGTTTGCAACAATTGCATTTATTCGCTCCAAGACATGTTAATCTTTCATCTTTAGTTCCTACTCTATGTGTAAGAGTTAATTTTTTTAATTTTTCATATTCATTATTAATAAATAGAAGAAATTTATTTAATTTTTTTTTTCAGCGAACATTGTCGAGCAATCATTTGCTTTTGCGAAAAGCTGCGATCTCATGTCTGAGACAATTGACACAACGAGAAGCAAAAGAAGTTTGTGAACATGCAATGACACTTGCCAATGAAAGTCGAGATACAAATATTGTGGAAGGTCTCGTAATAACAGAAACTGGACTTCCTGGTGTTTTATTCAGTATGCTGGATACCGAAAGCGATAGTCAATTAATTAAGGATATTCACGATACTTTAACAAGTATGCTGCAAATTTTAGCGGCTGACAATTTATCCCAATGGTTATCACTTTGCAAGGACGTTTTGACAGTAGCAACTGGTAAATAATTGAAAAATTGAATCAAAAAAAAAAATTCGTAAAGTAATTTAATTAAATGTTTATTTAACAGAGTCGAGTACAGTGGAGGAAGTGACAAATGTTAATAATGAGGAAACAATCGCAGACAATGAGAATGTTGACGCTGAAGGTGATGACGATCAGGTGGAATTTCACGCTGATGAATCGTCTAAACAGCGACAAACAGTTCAACCAAGATGGCCAACAAGAGTGTTTGCTGCACAATGTGTTCGACGAATTGTCGCCGCTTGTATGATTGATCGACAAGCACATTTGGATTTATCGTTGGCTAAAGAAATGCAATCAATTAAAGGCAGAAGTGATTTTCTTGTTTTACATCTTTCTGATCTTGTGAGAATGGCATTTATGGCAGCGACAAGCGATTGTGATCCACTTCGTCTTGAGGGTCTTAAAACATTGCAGGAAATTATTGATAAATTTGCCAAAGTTCCTGAACCTGAATTTCCAGGTCATCTTCTCTTGGAACAATTCCAGGCACAGGTAAATAAAAATTTAATATTATTTATTTAATATTATAATTGTTTATTAAAAATAATAAAATTGTTTATTTAAAAATTAAAGGTCGGTGCCGCATTGAGACCGGCATTTTCGTCGGAGACACCACCTCACGTGACAGCGGCGGCTTGTGAGGCTTGTAGCGCATGGATTGGCAGTGGAGTAGCGAGAGATCTCAATGATTTGCGACGTGTTCATCAATTATTGGTATCGTCGCTTGAAAAATTGCGAGAGGGTCACACACTACCGCAATTGTATAATGAGAGTTTATCCACACTTGAGAGACTTGCGATATTAAAAGCATGGGCCGAGGTTTATGTCGTGGCAATGATTAATGAAGGATCAGCTCCTGATTATCGAGAAGACGCACTGAGAAATGTGAAACAAATCAAAGAAAACGAGGAGGAGGAGGCTTTCGGTGAATTTGAATTTCAAAACGAAAGCCTTTTGAGTTTAGTGCAACCGGAACTATTAAGTTTGAGTCAGTATTGGCTATCAGCATTAAGAGATCACGCTCTTCTTTCACTTCCGCCAGGTCTGCGTCTAGAATATAATTTTCAATTAAAATTATTTATATTTAATAATTGAAATTTAAGAATTATTTTTAAAATTTCTTGTTTTAATATGTTTAGCAGATTAATTCATTTTTATCTGCGAGCATATTAAATTTGAATTTAATCTATTGAAATACATTTAAAATGTAGAATTTCTTTTAGAATTTTCGAGTCAATTGCCACACGATGGTGGTGCTTTTTACACAACTGATACAATGGAATCTGCACGTCCTTATTATTCGGAATCTTGGGCTCCTATTCTTTATGCTGCAACACTTTGGTTAAATGCAAGGGAATTTAAAAAAGATGAATCACTTGATTCTTATAATAAAAAATCCGATGGAACAAATAATAATAGCTCGAGTTCAACTACTTCATCCAGTAAACAGAGTAAAAATATTGAACGTTTCCATTTACTTTTTGGTGAGGCTTTAATAACATTTAATTTAAAAATTATGTAAAATTGAAATTTAATTTAAAAAATTTTTTTTCAAGGTATTTGTATGGAAGCACTTTGCAGTCCCAGGTCTTCCGAGTCGACGCAAAATATTGAAACTTGTTTGAGTGCTTTATATACATTGCTCGATTCACAATGGGCTCGTAAAGTTTTAATGACTGATCGTTCGTTGCCAATAGAACTTTGTAATGTCCTCCATAGGTAAATAATTTTATTATAAAGTACAACGAAAAAAATAATTTTCAAAAATAACTGAAATTTGTTTTGCAGATTATTGTTAACAAGAGAAAATTATACTATTCAAATAATGACAATGGAAGTTTTGAAACAAATCATGAAATCAGCGCAAGAAGATCTTGTTGATAGAAAAAAGACAAATAAATTGGAATTAGCGTCAAATAATGAGGAAACAAAAGAAATTCCCGAACTTGATTTAATTGGTGAAGGCGATGAGAAAGGGGAATTAATTCCTGGAAAATCGTTAGTTTTTGCAGTACTTGAAGTATGTTTGTGTCTTTTAGTTCGACAAATACCGGCATTAAATCCAAATCCTGGTGGTACAACTGCTATTTTATCACAACGACGTTATACTCCTTCGGAGAAAAGTGGCAAACTTATTGCTTCCACACTTTCCATTATGGAAATTCTTCCTAATCTTTGTTCTCCAGCTGGTTCGTAATATTAATTTTTATTTTATTTATCTTTTTTTTTTTTGTAGAAAAAATAAAAAAAGTAATTTGTTTTGCCACTTATAGGAGCAACGGCAATTCTTCCAACTTTGCTTTTCTTAACGACTGGAGTTATACGAGAAACAGCGATACGAACGAATAATGATATTATTAGAACAGGATCGGAGACTCCTGTTCATGCTGCACTTCATTGTTTAAAAACATTGACTGTTAATAAATATTCAAAAGATTCACGCAGTCAGAGACAATGGACTTCACTTTTACAAAGCGCTCTTGCCAAAATTATCGATCTCGCAAAAACAGGTAAAGAACAATTAAAACAAGGATTTTTAAATTTATTATATTAAATTAAATTTCATTAATAATTTTCGACGCTTGATTTTTTCTTTTTTTTTTAGGGAGCGATGAAACAAAAATGGATGAGGTTGCAATGATGTTAGGCATTGCGGTATTTGTTCTTCACGCATTACCGGAAGTTGTGAGCGCTCCCAATTTGCAATTTCCCTGTATCAATCATTTTCGACAGGCAATGCAATCGGAAAATATTTCGGTATGAAAATTTTAATTATTTAAAAAAAAAAAAACATTGTTTTGTATATTAATATTAAAATAAATATGAATCCTACAAATATAAAATAGAAAATAAAAAATAAGAAATAAAAAATAGAAAATAGAAAATCAAAACTAATCTTAAATAATTAATTAATAAAAATGATTTTAGATTAAATTGAAATGCGTGCAAACGTTGAGAACAATTTTCCAGCATCCAGAGCTCAGTATCAGTACACCGTACATTCATTCATTGGCACCAAGAATAGTTGAATTTTTATATAGCGAACAAAGTAAACAAGTGGAAAATGATTCTGAATTATCATTTACATTGGAATGTATTATGTCAATAGAAGGATTGATCGCACTTGCTGAACCTGCGAATCGTAAGTTAACATTTTTTTTTTCCTTCATCCTGAAATTTTAATTCGTTTTCTAATTTCTTAATATTTCATGCAAAACAGGAGAATTAATGCAAGGTAAACTTGTTCCAAAACTATTTAATATTTGCTTTTATCATTATTTATAAATAATATTTATTTTTATAATATTTTATTGAATAATTTTTGATTTAAAATTTTTTTTAAAAATGTTTTAAATACATTCTTAATTCCAAAAAGGTATTCAAATGCTGACTCTTCTGGTTCCAATTCTGATAAACTTTCTACTGGAAGGAGATAAATTGCAACATGGAACTAAATATCAAATAAGTCTTCATCAACAGAGTTTTCAATGGTTGAATAAAATTGGTCCAAAATATCCTCAGGAATTTAAGACACTTATGTCTCAATCAACAGAATTGAAAACTAAATTGGAAAATGCCGTGCGATTGAGCCATTTACAAGCACAGATGCTTTCCAGAACATCCGAACCAGTTAAACCTCAATTCAAAGTACTTGCACCTTCTATTAAATTGAAAACTGATTTCTCCAATTTTAATTGAATTTGGAGAGTGAAGTTTCAACTAAATGTAAATTTCACCTTTCTAAAATAGTTTTTAATTGAATATGATTTTTAATATTTATAAATGTATAGAGGTTTTTTTTTCGCTCTCTACACATGCCACTAACAATTTCCAAAGTTTTTTTTTTTTTTTTTTTACTTGCTAACAACTAATTTTCTTTTATTTTTAAATAACTTTCCAATGCCTTTATTTATTTATTTATAAGAGAATATTCTTTTTTTTTAAATCAAGTCTCCTTTGCATTTAGAATCAGTTTTTTTTAAATATAAGCATTTAGTACTTATCACAAAGCACAGTATATTATTTATCATTATCATTGTTAATCAAAAATTTTAATCGAAAATTAAATGTTAAATTTTATAATATTTGATGGTAGAAAAAAAAATATTTCTAACAATTTGTCATTTATTTTAATATTTTTTTAATTCACTACTAAAAGACTTATTTCATTTTCATTATTTTCTTTTAACGTAATACATAATTAAAAGTAATAATTTATTGTTTACATTTAATAATTTCTCGAGAATGAAATAATTTAGAACTGAAAGGACAAAGTTAAATTATATTTTTTATACTTGAGGATTGCACAAAACGAGACATGATAAAAAGTATTTTTAATTATATATTTATTTGGTGCCATAAACAAAAGTGTAATTTAGAAAATGTAACAAGTTTTTCGAAATTATTTTCAAATTAATATTTTGTTTTAATATCTTTTCTCATTGTATTCTTTAGCTTTTGCTTTTTTAATTTTAGTAAAAATGTGTTACTTTTCTTCTTTTTTTTACTGCTTTTCTGTTTAATTTGACTTGAATGCAAGATAACTGAATTTTTTTTAAATATTATCTGATTTTAAATATTGTCAGAATTTTAATTAGAATTTTGATTTTAATTTTAATTGAAATTTAATATAATTTAAATCGAATATTAATATTTGAATTGAATTCAAATGATTGATTTTAAAATAATATGATAGAATAATTGCACATTCAATGGTAAGATATAATTATCGTATTTTAAAAAAAAAATTGCGTAAAATGAAAACTTTGTGTCAATTGAATGAGATAATTATTTGATTATGTCAATTAATTTTCTTAAATTGTGAATTTACCTGATCAACGACTTTTTGCCTTAGTGTAACTAAAATATTTCTTTATTATGAATGTAAATTATTTTTCTTGTATATGTGAAACGTTATTCATGAATGAAGTTAAAGACGAAAGACTGAAGTGATAAAAATTCATGTACATTAGAATCAACAGGACATTTACGTAGAAGTACATTTAAAATGGAATTTTATAAAAAAAAAAAAAAAGAAACAATCATTATGATGTTGCAAACTTATAAAGAAATAGATTCTTATTTTATTGGATTATTTTAAATAATTGAATATAACAAAAATTCACAATTATTTTATTTATTAATAGTCAATTATGTATTTGTTATAATTTTAAACATTATTAATTATTATTAATTAATTTTGATTATTAATTACAAATTTTAATTACTAATTTTAATTACGAATTAAAAAATGACTAAGTACTAATTAATGATTAATAAATAAAATTAATTATTAATTATTATTGAATTGAAATAAAAATTGATTTTTAAAAATTGAAAATTAGGAAAATTGTATTACAGGGTAGAAAATGTGTACGATTTATTGAAAGAAAGAAAAATTAATTAAAGTCCTTAATTGTTTTGTCTGTAATAAGAATATGTGAAATTAGTTGGTAGAAAATTCTTCCTGTCATAAATTTTATAAAATACAATATTACAGAAGCAGTTTCGAAAAATTTATTTCTTCTCTAACATTTTTTGCTGTGAAAATGTTGAATCGGAAACTCTTCTGGAATATTGGAACCAAAAAAAAAAAAATAAAATAATAGAATACAAAATTTGTCAATATCTCTTTGAAAAATTATATTATCTATATATAGAAATATAATATACCAATATTGTAAAATTAGTATATTATCATAAGGAAGGTTAGTGTATATTTTTAGAGACTTCGTCAAAAAAAAAAAAATATTTGTTTCAATTTGGAAAATATCATTTAATTAACTTTAAGAATCAATGTTTCTCAAAATCCAAATTGTAAACTAGTTTTAAAAATGAATTCTTAAATTCTAAGAATTTTATAGAAATTTCACAGGCAATTATTTTTCTTATATATAATATTAATCAGAATCCATAAACCATTCTTTTTTTAACTGAGCAAATACGAAAATATATTTAAAAAATTAAAAACCAAGGTAGTCATTTTTTTCGAATAATAAAAAGATAAAAAAAAATTATCTTTCAATTAAATAATTAATAAAATTCTACACTACCTTTGTTTTTAATTTTTTTTTATTCAAGATAAAAAATAATTAATTTTTCGAAATGTTTTTGTGTTTCATTAACTATTATTTACAAAAATTCACTAATTTTTTTTTTTTTTTATGAGATAAAAAATATTTTTCTTAAAACTGTGATTTCTGATATAGTGAATTGTAATTAAACTGAAAACTATAATTTTTCAATATGCTGATATCAGCAGAATTTAAAAACGGGTAGCTTTTAAATCTTAAATCATAAATGAGAGATCTAATAATATTTAGATTCTGGTTTATTAATTAAGATTTAAAATATAGAAAATACAGAAAGTACATACAACAAATTATACAATCTCATATACATTTGAAAAAAAAAACAACAAAATTTTGCACCATTTTATTCATTATAATCGAAAAATTATAATTATGTGAAAAATTTGTTGTAAGAATTTAATTTTTGTCAATTTCAATTAATTATTCATCGTTATTTGTTTATTTATATTAAAATTGTTTGAAAAATGTAAAATTTAATATTTTAAAATCAGGGAATTTGTAGTTTTCAATTGTATCCTGTAAAGTGTACTTTATAAAAAGAATAATAAAGATACACACACAAATTGGAAGTTGATTTGAATATTTGAAAAATTCCCGCCAAGTGTGTCACGTGTCTCACGTGACAATATTTCAAATGCGCATGTGCAGAATTAACTGTCTTCTCAATTTTCTGAGCGCATTTGTCACGTACGAATTTTTTTTTTTTTTATTAAATTTTATCTTTATCGTAATTTCTTTCACTATTTATAATTATTCAGTGTTTATAATTGTTTATATAATTAATTAGTGATTTGGAATTGAAAATCGATTTGAATATTTGAAAAATTCCCGCCAAGTGTGACACGTGACGTAATATTTCAAATGCGCATGTGCAAAATTAACTGTCATTTTCTGAGCGCATTTGTCACGTATGCATTCTTGTTTTTTTTTATTAAAATTCTATCTTTATCGTTATTTCTATCACTTTTTATAATTATTGAGTGATTATTATTGTTTTTATATGATTAATTAGTGATTTGTGAATCGTTTATGTGAAATTGTTATATAAAGTATCATTGGGGAGAAAAAACAACAGTAAATAAGTATTACTTTTGAGGTTAGTTTTGTAATATTGAATTATCGTAAATTAATCGATGTTTGTTAGTTTGTTTCTTTGATTTATTGTTGCAAATTAGACAGAATTACTGTTATTTGTTTAATAGAAGAATAAAATAGTGTTAAAATTATTTAAAAAAGTGCAAACATGTCGGAAAGTCAAAATGTGATTTTGGTCACCGGTGGCACCGGGTTGGTTGGAAAGGCAATTGAATCAGTGATTAAAAATGACGATAATTCAAATGAAAAGTGGATTTTTGTCGGTTCAAAAGAAGCGGATTTATGGTACGTATTTTATTATTTATAAATTAAAAAAGTTTATAGTGAAAAAATATATTTTTTCTTCTAATTAATTTATAACAAATTATACACAATTTTAGTGATAAAAAGAGTACTGAAGAATTGTTTGAAAAATATAAACCAACGCACGTAATTCATTTGGCAGCAATAGTCGGTGGTTTATTTGTAAATATGAAAAATAATTTAGATTTTTTGGTAAATAAAAACTTTGTTTTATAAATTTATGTATGTAAAAATATCGGATATAACGAGTTTTTATTTTCTTTTTTTTTTTAGAGAAAAAATTTGCAAATTAATGATAATGTTTTGCAAACTGCACATGAAAGGAATGTTAAAAAAGTTGTATCATGTCTTTCAACTTGTATTTTTCCTGATAAAACAACGTATCCTATTGATGAAACCATGGTGAGTTAAAATTTAAAAATACAGATTACAATATAAAGATATTGGAATTTAAAAAACGAAAAAAAAAACTATTGTTTAGGTTCACAATGGACCTCCACATATTTCCAATTATGGTTACAGCTATGCGAAAAGAATGATTGACGTTTTAAATAGAGGATATTTTGATCAATATGGTAGAATGTACACGAGTATAATTCCTTGCAATGTATTTGGACCATTTGATAATTTTCGTCCAGAAGCAAGTCACGTTATTCCTGGACTTATGAGAAGACTTTACGATCTTATGAAAACTGGTAATTTTTCTCTTTTTTTTTTGACTATAATAGTAAAATATTTTAATTAAGATTAAAATAATTACAGGCAATACAACAGACAAAGTATTCAAAGTTTTAGGCACTGGAAAACCATTAAGACAATTTATTTATAGTAAAGATTTGGCAAAATTGATTGTTTGGGTTTTAAGAAATTATGAATCAGTTGAACCGATTATTTTATCAGGTAATTTTATCATTTAATTATTATTTTATTTTTCTGTTCATTTTTTTTATGTAAAAATTAATTTTCTTTCAGTTGACGAATCACAGGAAGTAACAATAGCCCATTTAGCTGAATCTTTGGTAAAAGCTTTTGACTTTAAAGGGAAAATTGAATTTGATTTAACGGCTGCCGATGGGCAATTTAAAAAAACAGCAAACAATTCAAAACTTCGAAGATATTTGCCTGAATTCACATTTACGCCATTTGAGCAAGCATTAAAGGAAACTGTTGATTGGTACAAACAAAACTACAATGAGGCTCGTAATTGAAATTTTTAATTGAGATTGAAAATTCTCAAATCGAATTATGAATATTTTAATTCTTTATATTGTATCGAAAAAAAACGGAAATTACTCGAAATATTGATATTTTTCTAAGAAGAAAATTTATCTACGAAATAGTAATTTGTCATTGATTAATTTTGGGCGTTTTCAATTAAGACTTACTGAGTAAGTGAAGCATAAAAGTTGAGAACATGAAATTGAGTGAATGATCCTGAATAATGTTTACAGGTAACGCATTTTTAAAAAATATTTAATATTTAAGGCAAATAAAAAAATCGCATGCATATACAGTTTTTGTATATTTAAAAAAAAAGATTTTTTTCTCATAAATAAAGCTTTCCATTAATAAATTCTTCGAATTTTTATCCGGATTTACCTAATGTAAATTTATTATTAAATACTATTTATCTAGCATTATAAAAAAAAAATCACATTTTCTTTACGATAAAGAGTTAAAATAAATATTCCATTTAACTCTGACCTCAGAATTTTTCTTGAAATATTTCTCAAGAAATTAAACTTAGATAAAATTGCCTTTTAATCGTTTTTTTTCCAATTTGCAAAATGAAACTTTTTAAATTATCTGAATTTGAAAAGGGAAAATTTTATTATATATTATTTTTAAAAAAATCGAAAATTTTATCTAGGAAAGTTTTTTTTATGACAAAAAAAAAAGATTCAAATTTTAAATCAATGAGTTTTGTAAGAGACATTTTTTTTTAGTTACGTAAACGATTCTTATAACTCTTATAAGACATAATATATATATATATATAGGTACGAAATAATAAAATAACTTATTCAAAGAACTTGGAATATAGATCATAAAAGTTTAACTTGTATATTTAAATATAGAATATTTTCTTGAAGGGATTATGATTCCATTTTTTGATAAAATATTCAATACTTTCATGATGTATTTCAAAATAGAATATATGAGACAAAATAGAATATAGAGAGAAGGAAGGAAGAAAAAATTCATACTGTCTAGATAAAAATAATTATTAAATTTTATAGAATTTATTTATTCACTTTTTCTTTTAAAACTCATTGAAAATGACTTTTAGATTAAATTAAATTTAAGTGTTTAGAGTTTTAAAAAAATATTAAAGAAAATGAAAGAATAACAAAAAAAAAATTTGTTATATTATAGCAGTTGAAAAAAAGTTAATTAGTAGAACTAAGTTTTAATCTCCGTGATAATTGCTTTTACATACTTTCTTTTAAAGTTATTTCTAAAAAATAAAATACAAAAATATTAAAATATTTTATGTTTTTTAAATTACTTACATTATTGTCAATTTAAAAAAAAAAAATTTTTAAATATCAGTAAAATTAATAATCGATTTTAAATTCTTTGATTCTTTTTTTTTCAATAAAATATGAGGGATTAAAAGTGATATTATATATATATGTATTTATATAATATGCATGTATTTGGTGAGGGTGTAGAATTAGTTTTTCACAGCTTGTGCACAGGGATTCCGACGTCGAAGCGATTTACAAGTAGCAATACAATCACGCAGGCGCCGCGACGCTCAGCGTCGTTTTCTCTGCTTCCAGTTTGCAAGAGGTACCTCACCTCGTCGGACGTAGTTTTTTTTTCTAATACGTCAACATTACCGGCAACTATTTTGCGGGCACGTGGAGTTTCAAAATATCATACGGAAAATTATATTTTCCCATGTGTCTAATAATGTAGGGGTAATAATAATAATAATTGCAAAAGATGAATTAAATTTTTTATCTCAAAATAGAAATTGACATCGATAATCTTATAAAAAAAAAGGACCAAAATATTTGTCGAGGAAATATTTCAAGGCGTCTCCGCTGTTGTGTATTTTTTTTTCACTCACTAATTTATTTAATTGAAAAATTTTTTTTTTGACAGTCATTTTGACAATTTAAATTTACAATATTTAAAAACAACATTTTACGTATATAAATTTTTTGTGTAAAAGAAAAAAATAGGAGAAAAAAGAAAATATTGATAGATTTGTTAATTAATGATAATAATCACTTGGAGATTTAAATTAAAAACTATTGACATATCTTCAATTTTCGTGGTTTGTTTAATCCTATGAAATGTGACTTTGTTTATTATTTCTTTTTGTGGTGTTATTGACGAGGAAAGTGTATTGGTTTTAAAAAATTATTTTCTATAAAAAAAGTTTATTAAAATTTTTGCAATATCAAAGTTGAGGCAAAGTGTATACAGTCTTATCGTTTCTTTAAAAACTCGTTTATAGTTGCAACGATGCAATCGATGATTACATTACAACTCTGAATACAAGGTAAAGTTGCAAATTGCATTTTGAAGCTATTCCCCACAAATTACACCATTTTGTTGAATTACATTTTTTTCAAGTTTTAATTTATTAATAATTTATTATTTTTTATTTTAATTATTATTTTTATTATTTTTATTAATTTTATTAATTTTATTAATAATAAAATGTATAATTAGTAATTAAATGTATAATTAATTAAATTTATTCTCTGAAATCTCGACTGATTAAAAATGATTATTATTAGTCAGTGAGAAAAATCAGAAACTTTTATTTATCTCATTATGAATCACGTCCGCTTCAGTGAGTTAAAAATTAACATTTGTGTTGAGTGAATAAATTTTTATTGCATTAATGATAAATTAAAATGATCTATTAAAAAGTTTCATTATAGATACTTTGTAATTCAGATATGTTTTTATATTTTGAAAAACACTTGACACTGAATAATTTTCTTATCCTCTGCCTCCTACGCTCTTTGTCACTTTAAATATTTCATAATAATTTTAACATTGTCAGACATTTAACAAATGATACTGTAAAAATAGTTTCTTGCAATTTTTTTAAAATATGTAAAATCAAGAAAAAAAAAAACTTTTGCAAATCAGAAAAATCGATAAAAAAAAAGATTTTTTGATTAAATTTGCGTATAATTTCATTTATAATTACTTCATTTCATTATTAATTCTTTAATTTTAAGATTAAGAAATAAATTATTAAGATTATTTTGAATATGTTTTATATTTTTGATTTTTTTTTAGGGAGTTTTTTTTTCTTTTTTTTTTTTTTGTTAACGAGAAATCTACAATGGATACGACAAGAGAAGTGGCGCATTTCAATCGAAGTCTGAGACTCAAGGACCACAAATGCGGGACAATTTCGAGAAACAGAAAAGAGGTCATCTTTGGAAAATCTCGTGCAAAAATAAATTTTATTGACACGTAGTGAATCCAGTGTGATAGTGGAAAGAAAAATATGCCGGGGATCGTGGTCTTCCAACGACGATGGAGCGTCGGAAGCGACGATCTCGTGGTGCCTGGCGGCTTTTTATTCATTCTACATTTTGTTTGGTGAGTCAACAATTATTATATATATATAAAATTTTTATTCCACAATTTCATCCTCTTTTGGGAATACAATGTGACTTGTGAGAATATTTGAAATATTTATTTTGTGGTAAAAAAATTTCTTTTTTGAAAATTTAAATATTTTTTTTCATAAAAATTTATTTATATTATATTTATTTATATTTTTATTTAAGAATATTTATTTATCTATATTTTCCGAATGAGAGAGAATATTTATTTTTTTGTATTTGAAAAGAACTTTTTTTTTTTTTTTACACATTTCCGGGGCAAAAGATCAGCTAAAGTTGTTTTCACATTGAGAAAAAGTTTCTTTAATTTTTTTTCACGTTCTTATAATGGAGTAAAGGAAAAGTTTTGCCAATTGTGAGGGAGTCAACAATATCATCATAAAAAATTCGACTTTTTCTTTTGAGATTTTTGAAAAGCAAACTTGGAAATTGGAATTCCCTTTTTTGTCTTTGAATTGTTAATGTTGTGATGTTGTACTGTTGTTTTTTTTTCGTTGTCATTCTTCTTTAAAAATAACTTATTTAAAAGTAAAGAATAGTCGTGTTCTAATTCTCAAAATTTGTGTTCTAATTCCGACCACAGAAAAGAACAAGGTTTTTTTTTTTTAGAGAAAAGTTGCACCTCGAGTACAATGTACGAAAGTGTTCTTGAGGACCTATTTGCCTCCGGGTTGTTTTCTCGATGAGAATTTTTCGAACTGTGTGAAAATTTTTCGATTTTTTAATATTTATTTCTCAATTTCAAAAATCAAATTGTATTAATTTTTTTTTTTTTTTCACAGAAAATCATAGGAATTTTTTGTAAAATATGCAAATTCTTCGTGACTCATCTTCTATAGATGAAAGATTGTCTCCTTGAGAATGTAATCAAACATTCCTGTTATCGCTAATTAAAAGTATTCGCAAGAGTTTTTAAATTCATAATTTTCGAGCTTCAAAAGCATCAGAACAGTGTAGAGAGGTCAAATGACCGGCTCCCTTTCTTCGATCGTTTCATGTAAACTTTCACACTGATTGCAAAAGGAAGTGTGTGTGTGTGTTTGAGAGCACGAGACGTAAAGATTTTCACTGCAGTGTGTAACACGTGCGAGATAAGAATTTCTCTCATAAATAATATTCTCCACGTGGTCGTCGTGTTATTCTCCAATGATGTGAATTCATTAAAAAAAAAAAAAAAAAATTGTTTCTTTATCGGTAAAATTAAATTAGAAAAAAAATGCCGAGTTTAATTGTTTTTGGTAGACGTTGGTTAGTTGGCACTGATGATTTGGTTATTCCTGGATTACATCTCGTTTCTATTCATTTTATTCAGTAAGTGTTTTAACTTACATTATTATAATTAATTATTATCTCTTTTCTCCGTTTCGATTTCATTTTAATTTGAATCTCGTATTATATTAATTATTATGTATAAATTCATAATATAGACAATTATTACTAAATATTAATTACTAAAATTAATTTACAAATATTTGCATATTTAATAATTATAAAATGAAATATATAAATATCAGAAAATATGATATAACAAAACAACGAATTTTATCTTTTTTAACTTTTTAATTAGTTAAATATTAATTTACTTGATAAAGGAGGATATTTATATTATTTCATAAAAGATTTCTTTTTTGTTTATTATTACCGGCACTTTAATTATATTAGATTGAAAAAAGAATTTTTTCCTGAAAAGTGAGGTTATGTTGCATTTTTTTTTTCTGGCATTTTGGAGTTTTATAAACAATTGCCAGAAATAATAAATCAGAAATTTTTGGTTATTTTTTTGCATCTACTTTTTTCTCTTTCTCTTTTTTATTAATGGAATTTGATATTTTTTTTTTTTTTTGGAGATATTGGTTTCTATTTTTTTTATTAATTTTCTTCTCTTTCTTTGTTAATGGAATTTGATTCGATACATTCGACGTGTCTTGTATTTCAATAAACATCTCCAATTATTATTATACGTAAATAGTAATTACGCTTAAATGAGTATACGCATAGCCTTTGGGAATACAACACGATTATTATACAGCAAGATGATACTGATAATATTTAGATTTCCATTGTACAAAGTTTATAAAGTAATTAATAGAAAATTATTCTACCGCGAATAAATATAGTAGTTTTGAATTTCTTTTATACTCTATTTCCGAATCTATTTTTCTATTTTTCTTCTAAAAAAGTTGAAATAAGAGTAAAAAAAATGAAAAAACACGACAATATTCATAGTCTCAAGGGAAATAGACCTTAAATTTCTTTCTTAAAGTTTCGTATTACATGTAATTTTCCTTACTTTGAAGGTTTATTATTATTACAGTAATTCACAAGTTGATTTATTGTAAAAGAAAAAATAAAAATATTATCACGCTAGAATAATTATTCTCAAACAAAACTTATTAATAGTAAAATAATAGAATAATAAATAAAAATAATAGAATAATTAGTAATAATAATAATAAAATAATTAAAAATTTTATTAATAAATAAAAATTTAATTATTTTTAGCTTTTAGGCAATGATAGGTTTCTGATTATTTTTGAAAATATTGGAGAACTAAAATGGGAAAATAGATAAAGTAACGGAAATGGCAATTTTGGACTTTATATATCAGGACACATTAATTAATCAGACAGATGAAGGTCGATTTATAATTACTGACCTAGATTCATTAGATCTTGAAATATTTCAATAATGCGAAAAAAATTAAGGACCCTTTTGAGAGAGGAAAGAGAGGAAATTCGCTGTGGATGAGCAGCAAAAATGGATTTCGAAAAGCTCCACACAGAAGAGAGGGACGAAAAAAAAAAGGGAAAGCATGTTTCGAGGGTTGAAGGAAGTGTAGTAGTAGTTCTTTCTTGAGGATCGATATGTCATGTTACGCGCGTGCAACGAAGTAACGACTGCTTGGTTTTGCTTCGTGTGAATGACATTACTCCCCTTTACTCTATGAATCATTCAAGGGTGACCCCATATTTCTGACAACATTTTCTCTCTGACCTCATGCCATGAGCCGAATTTTCAAATTTTAAATCTTCAACACTGAATTTATTTTCAATTATTCTTAATTTCTATTCTTTTTTCCACTGTCGAAAATTCTCTCTAGAAATTCCAGTTTTCATTTATTTTAATCGAAGACAAACAAATTCTATCCATAGGGAATTTCCTGTAGTCGAAGTTATTTTTCAAAATTATTAGAAAACAGGAAAATTTTTTTTTAATTCAAATGTACAAAGAAATTTCTCCATTTTTAAAAAAAATAATTTCATTATTTCCGCTGAATTTTTATTTTTATTTTCATTTTTACGAGAAAAAAAGTTTCTTAATTATTTTAAAGAACAGTTGTGAATTAAACAAGGTGTAAAGAGCATAATTCAAAGTTAAAGAGCAAAATGAAAAGTCTTTAAACTTTTGTGTAGTGCACTCGTTGTTTTAAAAGCGTTTTTCTCGGTCTATTTTAAAAGTCTTCTTTCTCAATGTATTCAAAAAGAACGATGAGCACAATAACAAGGTTTTCCAAAGTGTGTTCATAAATTTTTGCGATTTTACATATTTTTCACACTTTTTCTATATCTAATATTGAAAAAAGTAAATTTTTCTTATTTTATTTAATTCAAAAAAAGTTTCTTTTTTCAAAAAAAAAACTATTTTTTTTTTTACCTGAAAATATTTATTTTTAGTACCATATTGCATTATGCAAACATTATGAACGTGAAATTTCAAATAATGAATAAAGAACAGAAACGCTTTCAGATGTTTACGAAATTTATGACACGATTCGTTTCACTTTATTCATGGCTGCAATAACGGAAATTAAAATTAATTATTTTCGATTACATTTTTCTTTTTGCAGACAATTCGTGAACTTTTGAGTTAAAAATATCAAAAAAAAAATCGAATATTTCTTCGTTGACTTTTCAAAATTTAGAATTTCGATTAAAGAAGTTTAAAAAAAAAAAAAAAGAAATTCAGTTATCTCGTAATTTAAATTCTCGCTCGATTTAAACTTTAAACAGGGCATTTATCTCTTGTATCTAAATTTGAATAAACTTGCGATATATATATTCGATATTAATTAAAGAAAGTGCGTGTGTTCAAATATTAAATTTTTGATGCACCCTTCACATTATATAAGTGGAAGAAATTGTGAAGGGTGTAAAATCCCTTTAATAGTATATCCTAGAGAAATTTCTGACTATCCCTTCGTTTTTTCACATTCACCCACGCATTTCGTGAATCCTACTTGAATGCTGCTTTGGTGTACACTCTCTGGTACTGACAATCCCTTGTGCGATAAATGGGTCTTTGTTTTCTCCTATATAGCTTGGAAAAAGATTTATGGGACATTACTCTAATGTTTATCACTCGCCAGTAAACCATCACTGGATATATTCCACTGTTCTTGTTAATGAAACTCAAATTTTTAAGAGTTATTAACAAAATTTCGACACTTTTTTTTTCATTCTATATTAAGAATTAAAATTAAGTTCTAATGATTTTTTTTAGAATTATGAATTAACTAGCAATATTAAACGCGCGCCAAATTGATTATTTCATTATTTGTTATAGAGAAATTAAAAATTAATATTATCAATAATTATTTAAATTTATTAGAATATTATTCCATATTAAATGATAAAAATAAAAATTATATGTTTTATAGGCCTCAGATTATTAATTATTAAATTATTAAATTTTAAATGCAAAGTCTTTTAAAATTCAATTATTTTCCAAATTTTCAATTTAAAATCAAATGAAATTCAATTATTATCCAAAATTTTCCATTCAAAATCAACTAAAATTCACTTATTTTCCAAATTTTCAATTTAAATTCAAATAAAATAAAATTATTTTCTAAAATTTCATTTCAAAATTAATTATCAAAAATCAACTAAAATTGAATTATTATTTAAAATTGTAATTGAAATTTAATTATTTTCCAAAATTTCAATTCAAAATCCAAGACAATTCAATTATTTT